ATTAATAATTATTAAAACAATTGACAAGTTTTTATAAAAATAATAAAAGCCTTATCTCTTTATACTTTTGATGAATTCAAATTTATAATTTAGTAAAAAATATTACATTATTTAAATTTTCAGTAAAATTAAAATGAGAAAACTAATCAAATATTATAGTAGAAAAGAATGTACGAAAAGAGGGGAAAAAGATATTTTATGATATTTATATTTTAAATTAATTAATAAATATAAATAAATAACACTAAAGAAAATTATTGATAAATTTAGACAATTGAAGAATTTTGAACAATACAACATAAGTTTAAAAATATATATTTTTAGAGTAAGAAAATATATATTAATATTATATTAAAAGAGAAGTAGTATGAAAATATTAAGCTAATTGATAAGTTAATAAAAAGTCATATTACCGCCTCCGTTTCTAACTCCGAAACTGAAATTGCACTGCACGTCATCGTAGCCCCCAGACGTCACCCCAATGTGGCCATTAAAATCCCCTCCTATGAAAAGCTTCTCAGTGTGCGGAATACCACGCACAACCTCATCGAAATCCTCCTAGAAATGCCTTTTGACCTCTTCGTCCAACCCTACTTGAGGCGCGCACTAATCACATTTAGAGTAAAACCCACAATAATTAGCTTAATGCCCATCAACCTATCGTTCTGTCACGACCCAAAATTCGCATATCGTGATGGCGCCTATCTCAATACTAGGCAAGCCGACAATCTCAATAAGCCACAATTTCTGTTAAGTTTGAAAATATAATATATAAATTTAATAGAAAAATCCCACACATACTGATATATAATACACTCCCAAAACCTGGTATCACTGAGTACATGAGCATCTAAATGATAACAAAGTCTGACTGATAAAATCACTGTCTGAAAATATAGAACAGTACAATAACTGAAAGGAAGAGAGTCAAGGTCAGCGGACACCAGGCAGCCACCTTGATAGTCTCCAACTGATAATACTCTGAGATCTAACAGTCGATGTGTCCGGAAGCACCTGGATCTACACACGAGGTGCAAAGTATAGTATGAGTACAACCAACTCAATAAGTAATAAGACTAACCTTTGGGCTGAAAGTAGTGACGAGCTCAGCAAGTACAATCCAGTGTAGAAATAACAGTACAAAAAATGTAGGCATACTTTCAAGTTCAACAGTTAAGCTCAGTACAAGAAAAATAGATCAATATTGAATGATATGAGGAATATGACATCTCAATGGAAGAACCTCGTATACTCCCAATCACAATTACTCGATCACACAGTACTGTATATGGCCAATCCAGCCCAGGAAAATATTTATCCCCAAATTATAATGATTCTGACAAGATCCATGTCCAGAGAAATTCATCACAAATATAAATAAGGCAAGTCAATGCCCTGGGAAGTTCATCCCGAATATAAATCATCTACGCTCACTATGGGGGGTGCAGACTCCGGAGGGGCTCCTTCGGCCCAAGCGTGATATAAAGTCGATATGGCCTGCTGCAGCCGGACAACCCCGATCCAAGCCTATAAGGCCTGCTGCCCGATCCTATAAATATTCTCACAATGGATGAACATGGCTGAGTATGAAATGTATATTTTTAAACAATTAAATTCAACAGCAACACGACCCTATGGGTCCCAAAATATTTGCACGTAGCCTAAATATAATCTTTAATACGAGTCTCTGCTCAATTTCTCTAACACGTGGAGAATATGCGGATAATAACATGATTCCTTAATTTTTTACAACTCCATAGAATTTATTCAAGTCACAATTTCTATGGTGCACGCCCACACGCTCGTCACCTAGCATGTGCGTCACCTCCAACAATTGATATAACACAAAATTCAGGGATTCTTACCCTAAGAACCAAGTTTAGATAAATTACTTACCTCAAATCGTGTAATTCTATACTCCGCTATGCCTTTGCCTCGCTGATTGATCTCCGAAATCCTCGTATCTAGTCATAATTAATTCGATTCAGTCAATACAAATTATTGGAATTGATTCCATATGAAAATACTAATTTCCAACAAAATTCGAAATTTAACTCAAAAATCGCATGTGGGGCCCATTCAACCACGAGTCCAACCATTCCAAATTTACCAAATTCCGACATCAACTCGACCTCCAAATCTAAATTTCTTATTTTGAAATCTCTAGGCCCAAATCCTCTAATTTTACCTCAAAAATACGTAATCTAGTCGAAATACTCAATGATAATCCAATATTATTGACTAACAATGATCACAAGTGACTTACCTCAAGGTTTTCCATGAATTCTCTCGAAAAATCACCCAAAACCGTGTTGAAAATCTCCAAAATGACAAAAATATCGGAACCCTCTGTTTTTGTACACTGCCCAGAGTTTCCGCTTATGCGGAATTTTTAACCGCATCTGCGGTTCCGCTTTTGAGGTGAAGCAACCGCTTCTGCGACTGCCTTCACTTCTGCGGACAAGAAGTCAGCTTCTACAGACTCGCTTCTGCGAGATTCTGTCCGCTTCTGCGGACTTCCCACTTTTGCGATGCCAGGCTCGCTTCTACGAGCTCGCACCTGCGAGCCAAATTCCGCAGGTGCGATTGCATCAGAAGGTAGAAATTTTCAGATTTCTTCCAAGTCTAAAATTTAGTCCGTTAACCATCTGAAACTTACCCGAGGCTCCCGGAACCTCAGCAAAATACACCAACAAGTCCTAAAACATTATACAAACTTAGTCGAAACCTCAAATCACATTAAACAATGCTAAAATCACGAATCATACCCCAATTCAAGCTTAATGAAACTAAGAACTTTCAACTTCTATATTCGATGCCGAAACCTATCAAATCAAGTCCGACTGACCTCAAATTTTGCACACAAGTCATAAATTACATAATGGACCTATTTCAATTTCCAAAATCGGATTCCGACCATGATATCAAAAAGTCAACTCCCTAGTCAAACTTCCAAACTTAAATTTCTATTTTAGTCATTTCAAGCCTAATTTAACTACAAACTTCCAAATAATTTTTCGGACACGCTCCTAAGTCTAAAATCACCATACGGAGCTATTGGAATCATCAAAACTTTATTCCGGGACCGTTTACACATAAATCAATATCCGGTCAACTATTTCGATTTAAGCTTTAAACCTTGGAACTAAATATTCCAATTCATTCCAAAAACTCATCGGACCCGAACCAATTACCCCGACAAGTCATATAATAATTGTAAATCACAAATTGAGAAGTAAATAGGGGGAACGAGGTTGTAATAGTCAATGTAACGACCGGCCGGGTCGTTACACGTTCACCCTCCTAACCTCCACCACTAGCTCCCGAAGATCCCTATCAACCAAAATACCTACCCCATTCTTGCCCCCACGCATCCACAGTATCAATGCTTAAACCCATCTACATCCCGTGCCTTATCTCCTACCCATCTAGTCTCCTGTTGACAAGCTATATTGATCTTCCTCTTACGAAGAATCTTCGCTAACTCTACAGACTTTCCCGTCAAAGTCCCTATATTCCAAGACCCAACTCGCAACCTGGAGGCATCCTTACTACCCTTGCCCCTACCCCCCTGAGGACCCCCCTCCCGCCACCGAGGACATGACCTCACCCTGCCATTGTTCAGTACATCCACTATAATCTAATACACTCTACGCAGGAACTACCATAGAAGTATGGGCACAAAAGTAGGGGCACAACTAATGAACTAGGAATGATAGTAGCAACAAGGTATGTGAGACTAAGTACCCTAAATAGTGCTGAAAAGGTCCGTAAACAGATACAATTGAGCTAAATATATTAACAATGATTAGAGCATAAAGAGTAATAAAGAACACAGTAGAAACAAAGCAACATGTAAACGAAATGTATTAATAATAATGTTTAACAACAAAGTAATAGGTGAACGGAATATAACAAAACAAGAACATACTAAGAACAAAGCAAAAAAAAACTAATAGGCAATGTATAAAAATTTAAACTAAGACACAAAATCGATACTACAAGCAAGTAGATAAGTATATATTAGGACCAATTCACGAAACTACAAACAGAAAAATATGCACTGTTAACTAAAGCAATTCTGCAACTTGCAAGAATGAAAGACAAAAGGAGACAAGAGATTCAGAGGTACCAACTTCGGGTGGATAGAACCCGCATCACCAATTTGGATGTCGAGGCGTTGTTGTTACACTCGCCTTCCATGCACTCCCACACGCCTCGACTGTCGCTTTTCTTCGCCGACACGAGGGTTTCACTCGCCTCTTCTCTGATATTCGCCAGTAGTTTGATAACAAGTTCAGTTTCCAATAAACTCCCGAGAGCTAGAACTTGGATTGGATCAGGGATGGCGAGGCGTTGCTGCTGCTGCACGAAAAAATCAAATCCAGATTCCACGCGCCTAACTCTACTACCAACCGGATTTTCCTCTCGTCGGCACGTGAGCCTCACGCAATCTCTGATTGTAGCCACAAAATATGTACATGAACACATAAAGCCAAGCAACCAGGATTCCTGAAGAAAGATTGAAGAGACGACGTTGTCACTGTTACCTCAGAACTGGTCACTGTTCAGATCTGGACCCGAGCAGTCGCCAGCGGTGGGGGTAGAAGAGAAAGGCGATAGGGGGAATAGAAAGTGGGGTGAGAGAAAGAGGAGAGCGAGATAGAGAAGAAAGAAAGAGACGAGAACACGAAACAAAAAAAGAAAAAGAAGAGTAGGGGCGAGAAGAACAATAAGAGCAGAACTATATTAAAAAATAAAATAACAACTAACATTTATTAAAATAATATGATATATTGGATCATAATTTTATAGGATTAATATTCTTTCAAATTATTCGCGCATCGTATAGGTTCTAATACTAGTAATAATAATAATATAAATATTCGACTAAAGGGGAGCACTTGCTATCATAAAAATAATAAAGTATTTCCTTTTTAATGAAACTTAAGCTAATTGAAATCTTATACCATAAAAGTATGAGTTCAGTTCAAAGAAAGCATAAGATGCTTTTCGAATAAAACATAACGGGAGGAGCGCCCACCACAAAATATTCGTAATTCGCCCTAAAAAGGTAGAAAAAAACAACCAGGAGCCCGAGAGACTGTTGGTACCGCAAAACAAATTCCTTATAGAGGGAGAGAAAATGGCTTTCTCATCCAACCCGTTATCTCTGAGTGTACCCGAACCCGTATTTGAATCCTGGCTCCGAGATACCGGCTACCTCGAAATTCTCGATCAACGCACTACCGATCTCCACCGCCACTCTTCCACTGCCACCACAGCCGCCGCCTCCGCTGCCTCCGCTGCCTCCGCTTCCTCCTCCGACGCTTCTGCTGTTACTAATTCCGCCGCCGCTGCAGTTTCAATCTCGAACGGAGTCTTTGTTCTGATATTTTCACATATTGGAACCTTACTGTCGCTTTTTACGCTTAACCCGTTTGCGAAGCTCACGTCGGATGATTTTTCCGGTGATACGCCGTCGTGGACACAACTATTCCTAGGGTCGTTGGATTCATACTCGTTTCCTTCGTCTCCTTCTCAGGCTCGGCTTAGAGTCCACGAGAATGTGAAACGCTATGCCCGCAATTATACCTCTCTCTTACTCCTCTTCTTCGCTTGCTCTCTGTATGCTCTCTCTCTCTCTCTCTCTCTCTCTCTCTATCTCTATCTCTCTCTCTCTCTCGCTATCTGTAAACACACACATTATCTATGTGTAATTGTGTGTCTGACTGTTTAAGCATGTATGTGGACATTGACAAGTATCTGCTATCGATTGTAATTTGTACTATTAGTAATGATTAAATTTGTGCTTTTGCGATAAGCTGAATATTGGCTTTGTTTTAAGCAGTGTCTGCTGGTGTATTGGTGTGAAACGGGCCCGAATGGAGTGGAAGGAATATAGAGAATTAATATAACTGACTCCAACTAGTTTACAATTGAGTTGATGGTTGATTGATTGATTGACTTTGTATGAGAAGCTTGAGGTTGTTAGGCTTTGAGAGCTAAATGAGGCTCACTCGGAGAATAGTGGATTTAGATAGTTCTTTTTTATAAGGATTTGGATAGTTCTTAATTCAAGTTATAAAGCATTCTGTACTTAATTTCTTTCTTCCTCGAGAATATATAATTTGCATGACATAAACAACATGTATACGGTTTTGGTATGTATTTATATGTGCCAATTGAAATTTGAAAGCTGAAACATTTGTAATTTGGAAGCTGAAACAATTGTAATATAACTAGGGTTTCACATAGGACAAAGTTTCATTTATTGGGTGATATGTTCAAGCCCTTTAGATTTCAGAGTACTTGTCAAACAAAAAAGATGTTAAGCGCTTGGAGATTTGAAGACAGTACTTGGTCCAAATTTAGCAAATATTTGTAGCTGCAGGATTTCATTTTCTGTTGCTTGGCTTCTTGATTTTAGTGCAATTTGATTGTTAGTTGAATTTTGATAAAATTTGGGTTATAGGTACCAAAAGCTGCTTGCCCTTGTAGGGTTGATATTGTGTTTGGCACTTTGGGATGTATTAAAGTTATGTGGAGAACGTTGGGGATTAGAGCAGCGCCCTGTAATCAAACAAAGCTTGATTCGCATCACTCAGTGTGGTGAGTCGATATTCTTTAGTGCTCCCCCCCCACCCACACACACACAAAAAAAAGAAGACAAAATGGGGTGCCACTCTCTTAAATGATTCAGGTCCAGCATTCTATCTGTGTATATTGGTGATGAATAATATGATGGTAGCTTTGACTGTTTTATCATATGCTTTGTGATTTATCCTATGTGTTAATCATCCTGATCTTTAAGCTTCTCTTCAACCTTTTGAATATTGTCCATATCTGTGTTCCTTCTTCCAAACGGCAGACTGCACTCCTCTGGACCGGAGGCTCTTATGCCAACTTTTGGTTGAGATACAATGGCGTTCAGAGACATTGCATTTGCAATGCAATGGATGCTCTTAAGACCTTTCACCAAGATCACTAGAAGTCAGGATCAAGGACAAAAAATCCAACCACTAAGCTAAAAGTATGTACTGAGATGGTACCACGAAATAGATCTAGATGTGAGCAATTAACCCATGAGTTCATCAAGAGGAGCAGGGATATATGGTTGGTCTTCTCCAACCCTGTTCTGTCTTCCTCCAAAAGTATCCTTTAACTGGAAATTTTTGCGAGTATGTTAATTCAAGTAAAATGGGGTTTAAATGTCTCTATAAAAAAATTAACATTCGTTAAAAAATGCATGAAAAGTTCATAAATTAGGTACTTGCACTACAGTGAATGCATAGATTATAAAATCTGTTTCTTTCTCATTATTGAAGAATGTTAGTCTCTCAATTTTTCATTCAAAACTTCCTCAAATTCTCATGATGATTGAACTAGTTAGTAACCCCCCCTCAAAATTTTGTTGATTAGCGTAGAATGGAGAAAAACTGAGGGAGGGATGATGGGGAAGGAGCTGAGTCTTTTACTCAAAATGTTTTAAACAAGCAAATTATTGTCTTTAAATGCTTTAGCCTGCAGATATAGTAGTGTTGTGTGTTGATAGGCCTGAAGGTTTCTCTTAAAAAAAGTGGAGAAATGATATTTGATTGGTTCTTTTGCTTTTTTGTTTGGGTACAACACCCATAGCACTGGTATACAACTTTGGACCTAATGGCCGGCCTAGTAACCTTTTGGAATGGCCGTTGGCAACAATCGCGGCTGTAGTTACGGAACTACTGGGCCGGAAAAGGACAACCTCTTGTTCCTGCTCTTATCTGACTAATAAGAGGAAAGGGGGAAGCCAAAACCGACTCCTAACAAGTTGTTGGCTTTTCATCCGCCTTTACGCGCTATTGTGCTAGCCTTTTCCCAACCTGTGAGAAAGCACGGGAGAAAATATGTTATTGATATTGGATGATAAATACAATACAAGAGGTACCTATTTATATCTATACACTACAAGGAGATATTACTCCTCTTCCAATGTGGGACAAGACTACACTATACATATCTATAAACTAACACTCCCCCTCAAGCCGGTGCATACACATCATATGTACCGAGCTTGTTACACATGTAACTAATACGAGAACCAGTAAGAGACTTAGTGAAAATATCTGCTAGTTGATCATTCGACTTTACAAACTTTGTAACAATATCTCCTGAAAGTATTTTTTCTCTGACAAAGTGACAGTCGATCTCAATGTGTTTAGTCCTCTCATGGAACACCGGATTTGACGCAATATGAAGAGCAGCTTGGTTATCACACACTAGTTCCATCTTGCTGATTTCTCCGAACTTTAACTCCTTGAGCAACTGCTTGACCCAAACTAACTCACACGTCGCCATAGCCATGGCCCGATATTCGGCTTCGGCGCTAGATCGAGCAACTACATTCTGTTTCTTGCTCTTCCACGAGACCAAATTACCTCCTACTAGAACACAATATCCAGACGTAGAACGTCTATCAAAAGGTGATCCTGCCCAATCAGCATCTGTGTACCCAACAATATGCTCGTGACCTCGATCCTCGAATAGTACTCCTTTGCTTGGAGCTGACGTTATATACCGAAGAATGCGAACAACTGCATCCCAGTGACTATCACAAGGAGAATCCATAAACTAACTTACAACACTCACCGGAAAAGAAATGTCAGGTCTAGTCACTGTGAGGTAATTCAATTTGCCAACCAACCTCCTATATCTCGTAGGGTCTCTAAGAGGCTCCCCCTGTCCAGGCAGAAGCTTAGCATTCGGATCCATAGGAGAGTCAATAGGTCTGCAACCCATCATTCCAGTCTCCTCAAGAATGTCTAAGGCATACTTCCGCTGTGAAATAACAATACCTGAGCTAGACTGAGCGACCTCAATACCTAGAAAATACTTCAATCTGCCCAGATCCTTAGTCTGGAAGTGCTGAAAGAGATGTTGCTTCAGATTAGTAATACCATCCTGATCATTGCCATCAACATAAACCACTAGATAAATACACAGATTAGGAGCAGAATGCCGATAAAACACAGAGTGATCAGCCTTACTACGAGTCATGCCGAACTCCTGAATAATTGTGTTGAACTTACCAAACCAAGCTCGAGGGGACTATTTCAAACCATATAGTGACATGCGCAATCTGCACACACAACCATTAAACTCCCCCTGAGCAATAAAACCAGGTGGTTGCTCCATATAAACTTCTTCCTCAAGATCACCGTGGAGAAAAGCATTCTTAATGTCTAACTGATAAAGAGGCCAATGACGTACAGCAGCCATGGACAAAAAGAGACGAACAGATGCTACTTTAGCCACGGGAGAGAAAGTATCACTATAATCAAGCCCAAAAATCTGAGTATATCCTTTTGTAACAAAACGAGCCTTGAGCCGATCAACCTGGCCATCCGGGCCGACTTTGACTGCATAAACCCAATGACAACCAACAATAGACTTACTTGCAGGAAGAGGAACAAGCTCCCAAGTGCCACTCGCATGTAAAGCAGAGATATCGTCAATCATAGCATGTCGCCATCCTGGATGAGATAGTGCCTCACCTGTAGACTTAGGGATAGAAACAATGGACAAAGAAGATATAAAAGCATAATAAGGTGACGAGAGGCGATGATAATTTAAACCGACATAGTGGGGATTAGGATTAAGTGTGGATCGTACACCTTTGCGGAGTGCAATTGGTTGACTAAGAGGAGACAAGTCCGCAGTAGGTGCAGAATCTGATGCGGGGCGTGAATCACCTGGGCCTGATGCTGGATGTGGACGACGATGATAAGTCAAGAGTGGTGGAGCTGCAGAAGGTTGAACTGGATTATGTGGAGTAACTGGAGCTATAGGTGGTGGAGCTACAACCGGAGCTGTAGGTGGTGGAACTGGAGCTGTAGGTGGTGGAGCTACAACTGGAGCTGTAGGTGGTGAAACTGGAGTTGTAGGTGGTGGAACTGGAGCTATAGGTGGTGGAGCTACAACTGGAGCTGTATGTGGTGGAGCTGGAGTGACTGAATCTCCAAAAGATGAAACTGGTAGTACCTCAGAAATATCTAAGT